GCCTGGTTGGTATACAGGGAGGGAGAGGAGGGTGGAAGGGAGGGAGGCAGAGAGGGAGCGTGGAAAGGAGGGAGGGAGGAAGGAAGGATGGAAGGAAGGACGGGAGGAGGAAGGAAGGGAGGAAGGAAGGGAGGAAGGAAGGGAGGAAAAAATGACCTGTGAGAGCAGCGCGGATGACAACATTGCCAATTGAATGTCCGACAAAGCTGAGTTTCCCAAGGCATAAATTTGGATTTGGCCTCCCAGAACTCCCAAACAGATGAGTCAAGGAGGTAGCAACCTCGTTCGCGAGTCGCCGTCCCATATCCCGGAAATCATCAAATGTACGGTCCTGATTTGCTTCAGACATCATGCATTCCACCGTCGGATCCAACATCAGCCAATTGTTCCGGATGAGGCGAAGGTCTAAGTGATGGCCCTGAAAAAGAAAAAGACAACGCCAAGCCCAGAGAAGTGTCAGTGCACAAACAAAGACACACACACACACACACACAAACACACACACACACACACACACACACATACACACACGTAGACAGGGAGTATGAATACGGGACCATCCACTGGCAGGAAGATCGGCTCTATGCTCAAAATGCAGGTAATGGTACCCACCACTTCGGACCATGAATTACATGCCAAGACTAATGCAAACTGTCAGGCCCCCCTTGTTCCTTTTTTCTTTCTTTGGTTTTATTTCTGTTTTTCATTTTCATTTTCCTTTTTTTTCCCGTTGCTTTGACGAGTGTGACCCTGCCTCTCTACTGCTCACTCAATGGGGCCTTTTTGATCCTCAGAGAAGCTCGTTCCTGGGCAGCCGTGGTCAATAACGGGTGGGCACTGACAGGCCGGTGTCGCATATGGGTGCACTCTTGAGAATTGCTACCTTTCTTCTGTCGCCTTTTTCTTTTTTTCCTGTTGTCTTTTTTTTTTGTTGTTACCTCAGAAGTTTATGCAATGAACCCAGGCTGGAGAGACACTCGTCAATGTCGAAGTACAAGATGTCTCAGCGCATGTCAATGCCTCCAATAATCATGAATGTGATCCGAAGTACAATGCCTCGGAACCAAAGGACGGAGCTGATAGGAGGGAGATAAGACTTAGAGGGTGGAAGCGAAAGTATCCATCAATGTCATCGAAGATAGATCTCCCTCATGTCCCACTCCTCCTTCGGGCATCTCCCCTCTTCCACCTCAGCAAACAGTATCCCAAAGTCGAGCCTGACAAGAACCGATCACAGCATAGTGCCACGCAGGCACGGATCTCTCACGAAGACGTCACAGCAGCGCGCAATGTCGACAGCATCAATCAGGTAAGCTTCCCTCTCTCTCACAACCAATCTCACAGCCCTGATCTCCCTCCTCGTCGATACCCCAATGCGTGTCGAAGTCAATGTGGCAAGTGCCACATCATCAATCAAGTCCCCAGCTGGCGCCAAGAACAGAGAGGCGCGAGCGACACAATGCAGTAGTCTTGCGTCGTCGTCACACACAATGCCAGCGTCCAGCCAGCGTCGTGCCAGCATCGAGCAGCAAGTGCAAGACTGAATGTCGGTCAGCAGGGGCTGGCTCAACTTATAGTTGACTCGAGGTTGACCAGCCTCTGGTCTCTCGAATACGACCGCCCGATTGACCCACGGGCAATGGCCTGGATCTCTTACAGTTGCAGATTCCACTTGGACTGGATTCTTGGCAGATACCTGCAAAGCACCAATATGTGTGTCTGATCGGTGGCCTGGGCTGCGTATGGACTTTGACTCGTGAGCCTCAATTCCCGAGCTACAGTTGACTGTTGACTTTCTTCAGTCATCTGTCGGGTGCAGGGTCTGTGAAGCCTCGGTTCGGGGCCCTGTTTGGATACGGTCTGGCGCAGGGCCTTGCTGTGGTGTTACATGCCCAGTTGGGCGATGTACATAGAAACCGAGGATCCGCAATGTGATGAAAAGGACTGAATGGGCAATGCAGTGCAAGTAGAATCTCAACAAGCAATGTGCATTCTAATACATACAAAATGGTGCTGAATAGCACAGGGAAGACTTAGATACAAATCCTGACCTGACCGGGACTGACCTCATTCACATAGTATCAGATAGCGAATCAACACAGGAAGAAAGCGCCAATCAATGTTTGAACGCAGACCAAACATACATCATATCCATCACAAGGTGTGAAGGAGCCAGGCGCTGTACACAGGAAGAAAGCGCCAGGTCCAGACATACACAGACAAAGAGGAGGGAATCAGACGAAGAGGAGAGGGAGAGATGGGAATGTTGTCGACACCAAGTCTTTGTCACCAGTCCCAAATAATCCCTCGTTGCAATGTCTGAAGTCCAAAAGTCGAGTCTGGATCCAATGTCACCAAGCTCTTTCTCTCTTCTCTCGTAGTCTGCAGATGCAGTGAAGTCAGATGATGAGAGGGTGAGAGGGAGATGGTGGACTGAGAAGAGGAAGAAGAAGAACTCTCTCAGTTACGAGCCAGGACTAACCTGTGATGTTGGCGCTGTGCTGCAGGTACCTCGAAGACGAGGCTGGAGCAACGGCGCTGCAGGTAAGTACCTCTGGCCTCCGCCCAATCTCTCTCTCTCTCTCTAGTGCTATCCTAGCTATGGCGCCCAGCGCTGGAGACTACAGCTACCTACTGCGCCCAGCGCTGAAGACTAAAGGCTAACGCTACTACTACTCCTGCAGCACTCCCTCCAGAGTGCTGCTGCCGAATCCTGAAGACTACTACTGCCTCCTGCCTACCCGTGAAGTGCATGGGAAGTCCCTATGTACTACCTCGGCCTGCCTCCTGACTGCCTGAAGGGCGAGCCAGGCCGAGGAGGCTGCTCTTGCCAATGCCGAAGTGTGCCAGGGGCTGGCGCTGCAGCAGCTGCTGAGGCTGGCGTGGGGAACAGGCTAAGAATAGCCTGTTCCCGAAACCCTGGTTCGGTGCCTGAGTTTCAGGGCCAGTCGTTCTGATGAACGACTGAAAATGGCCCTTCGTTTCAGGCTCAAAAGGCTGTTGCCATTTTTAGTCTGAAACGACACAGGGACTGTAGGCCCCTGTTTTCAGGCTTTCGGGCTGAACAGTCACGGGGCCTGTAGGCCCTGGTTTTCAGGCTTTAAGCCTGAATTTCAGGCTTTCAGCCTGAGGGACGCAGGGCCTGGAAAATGGCCCTCGTGTGCAGGTGCAGCATGTAACATGTGGCCTGTGAGCGGCCCTTAGCCGACGACAATAGCATATTTTGAGCGGGTTATTAGTAACTTATTAGTAAGTTATTACATCCAGAAATTGTAGATCTTTTTTTCTTTTTTTTGCCTTTTTTCTTTTCTCGTTTTTCATTTTTTTGGTTTTTTTCTGGTGGTACTCGGACTCTCTCAAATATTTGGAACAGCCCGTTCCTGTGCAGGTTTGTTCTCTCCATGGAGATGTAACACTGAATAAGGGGAAGTTTGCGAAGGGCTGAGCATCGAATGGGCGCGCAATATGCGGCCTTCATGTTTCCGTTTTCTCGTCCGCGTTCGTAAGCGGGCACTACCCCAGTATTAGTGCAATCCGGTGGCCAGTAATGCAAGTGGCTTTCTGACGAAGGCTACACCCTCGGATTTCGACGACAGGATAGCCGTCTCGGCTTACTATATTAGCACCAAGCTTAGTCGATACCGACCGTACCGTTCATCTTGAGTCTGCTGCACTCATCTGTTGCCGCGTTCTGTGCACTCTGCTGAGAAGATCGTGTGGGACCGAGTGATCTGATACAGGCACTGTGACTTCGAAATGGACTTCTTTGTCGACTGGGACCAGGTGGAGGACCAGAGGGGCATGGAGGAAGTGGTAATGCGCTCACGATAGCACCAGGCACACACTTTCCTCTATCCTCTGGGAAGTGGATGTCGGGCTTCTTAACATTTTTTGCTACACGCTGCACCACTGCAGCCATGTCACTTTGCATCGCTGAACCGCGCGCACTATGCTCCGCCTGGGTCTTGCTGCCAGTACTTTCGCTCTTCACATCTCTTCTCCTCGTTGCACTGCTTCCGAACCCTGCCTTCAAATGTGCTCTTGTCTGCGCATGCACATCTGAGCGGACCTGCCTCAGGACCTCCTCTCTTAAATTCATGGTTCTGGTTGGCTCTACTATCTGATTCGCCGCGCTCTTCCTTGCACTTGTCGTTTGCCGCTTCTACGTGTTGCTCAGCAGGAGCTCCGTCATTTGGGTGGTGTGTCATCACGTTGCATAACCAGGCGATTCGGGCAATGGAGAGGAGATCAGCTTCGGATACTAATTCTTCCTGCGCCTTTCTTGCAGTCTTATCCTTCCTATCCTTCCTTGCTTCATTCACTTCCCTTTCCAGTCGCTCCAACCCCTGAATTCCCCCCCCTCTCCCCTTCATCTTCCTTCTCCCCTCCCTTCCTCCCACCTTCCAAAGACCATGGAAGATGTCCTTCCCTCTGATGACGACGTCATACCAAATACCCTTGCAAGGGTATTTAGCGTGTTTTCTGCAGGTCACACCACTGCAGCCTCGTCTGCTTGACGGAGCGCGTGCGAAGAGGAAGTTTAGGTCCTCGCCTGGGTGAGCGACGCACGCGGGGTATCGGCGGCGAGGCGCAACCATGTGGGCCTAGCGGGACGCAGCGTCGCAGGCCAGCGGGACGCGCGGCCCCTAGTCCCCTTACTTTTTCTGAGTTACCTCGTGTTTATATTTATTTTTATTATTATTATTCCTACTTTTATCTCTACGGATGTCTTTGACCCGGTGACCGGGTTCGAGATCGACGTCGGGCCCCACGGGCCTGGCTCAGCTACTACTTTGTCGGACACGGGTGGCCATTACGGCAGTCGAGGACCTTGAACATGCGCCTCTTTTTGTGGGCCGCTCAGGTTCCTGCGTGTTGTGGATGCTGGCAAAATTCAACGTGCGTGCGAGCCGGTGGGTAATTAGCCCACGAGGTGGCAAGAAACCTGGGTGGTGGGGGCCGTTGCGGGTGTGCGGTCCGCCACCCGCCGCCTGCCGTGAGTGGGTTGTGTGTGAGCATGCCCGCTGGGCCCCGTAAGATGGTGAACTTGCGCACAGGAGGCACCAGTGGGAGGCTGCCGCAGTGTTGGCTGTGCGGCAAGGCTGTCCCAGAGGTTGTTCCGTGGGACACCGCCCCCACTTCGATCTCCAAAGTTCTCATTTGAATATTTGCTACTACCACCAAGATCTGCACCGGGACCCGCTTCACCTAGCTCACGCTGTAAAGCGCTGCAGAAGGCCCTGTGCCCTCCCAATCGTCGCAGAGTCGGGGCAGTCGAAACAGCCAAGCATGGAACATGCGCTGCAGTGCTATCCATTCGGTCGGGGATGATCGGCAGGTGCGTTGTTACATCCTCCTTAGCGGAGAACGATTTCCACGACCAGTGTTCTACTGCCTGTATCGGTCGGCTCCCTCCGC